TTAACTTTAAACGTTTCCACTTGAACAAACCACTTTAAAAATGCGTCAAAGATAACTACATCGATAATTTCCACACTAGTTTTTTTTATTTTCGATAATCCTCGAATCGTTTAGGTTATTTTTATTGAACAATCAGCTATTTTTGATTGTTTTCCATTAAACACAATATAGATAAAGTTATATGATATCCACACAAGCACAAAATAATCCTTCACATGTAATGGCACATGGACACTTGACTTAAGGCAATATCTTACCGAAATTTAATTGGGGAAGTAAAAATTCAACGTCTATTCACTCACGTTTAAGCTTAAAATGATTTTCATTTGTGCTTAACAGAGAGAAAGAAAAAATCTTTTAAAAAAAGAAAGCTGGAAATATTTTTCACTTAGCGCCTTTTATTGCTGTTTAAATTAGGGATCATCTATTTATAGCCATGCAATTTATGTAAACACTAGCTCACTATATGTATATTCCCCCCACGATTTACGTCGAAGCTCTCAAGTTGCGTAATTTATTTTTCTTTACACAGTGAACAAAAAAAAACTGAGCATATTAAATTGCTCTTAATTCATTTTAATTTTTATTGACATCCCATATATATGTAGATGCTTCTGTATTCACTCATATGGAAATCTCTATTCTCACAAATATGCAAAAAAAATAAAGTAAAATCGAAGCACTGAAATATTTTTTGAGTATTTTTCGCTCTTCTTATTCCAAGTTGTAGGAAAGAAAAAAAAAACACAAGACGGTTTCGGAATGTTTATTGCTCGATATATTTCTGAATACTAAAAATGTATGTGCTATTTCCACCTGAGTTGATTATTATTTTTTTTTCTTCTTTCAATTCTCTTATCGTATCTACGTATTACTTTAAAAAAAATTCTTTTGAAATTGTGTGCGATTTTTTTTTTGTTCCCTAAAATCGAGAAGACTCGTGTATTTGGTATCGAATGAGGAAAGAAAATAATATATTGTCGTTAAGGCTGAGAGTTATGAAATGAATTCTCGATTTAAAATAAGTTTTTTTAATTAACAATGTTTTATTTTTTGAGCGAGAGAGAAGAAACAAATGTGAAGATGATGGAATGTCGGAAGCCCTGTCGCGTATCAATAGCAATAAATTCATTAAAGTCTTCTTTTTTATTATCGATACGTTGTACAGTAATTTCGAAAAATTGAATTAAAGTCGTTTATACTAAAGCGCATTATTCATGCTAGTTGGGGTTATCTATTAATAACTTATTGACACGTTGTGCAAATATTTTATAATTCTTTTAATAGGGTTGTTGACCTTGTCTTGTTGATACTAGATTAGATTCAAAAATTGTAAACAAACGGCATGAATAAAATTGTAAAATTATTCAGATCCTGAATAAATCATTGCTTTAAGTGCTGAGTTATAAATTGATTTCAAAATATTTAAGATTGTAGATGAAATGCAAAATTAAACAGGAACAGGAACATCGATGCAATAATCTGAATTATATTTCTATAGTAAGCTAATAGCTGCTATATTAGGGATTGAATACATAACCAACAAAGAGGTCTGGACAAAATCTGAACCAAAGGATAATTTCTAGAGCTGTCCATTGCATCTTAATCTAGACTTTAAGGAGGTATAACAACAATTAAACTGTGCCTAGGGTAGGGGAACATGAGAAGGCATAAAAGCTCGTTCCTGTTGCCATCATTTGGCAATTAAAAATGCTAATATGATTCAACTTAATCTACTTCATTTTCTCAGAAAAACTGATTTCATTATCTGAACAAACTTAATAAACCTACACGCGACTACACACATGAAATTGGTGTGGATATGAAAATTACCCTTAATATTTCAACTCGAATGTGTCTGATGGGCGACATAGCTTTTTGCTATGCTTCTGTATATAAAACTTATTGTGGGTCAATATTCAACTTTAAAGAGTGGTTTGCCACTAAATCAATCCTTTCCTCCTGAAATGTTGTGAGCACTTTTTGAATCGTTGTCATATGGACAACACTCTATATAATGGAGTCAGAGCAGGGGCGTAGCCAGGGGGGGGGCATAGGGGGCCCGGGCACCCCCTACGAAAATCTGATAATTGTTTTATTAAGTTTTTATAGAGAAGAACCAGTTAATGTAGAGGAATTGATGAAAGAAATGTCAAAATCAGCACGAAAAATTAAATTTACTATAATGAATAATGAATTAAATATTTAAACTTATGAAGAATGAATATAGATTTAAGGATACAAAATTACGGTTTTTAATTTTCGAAAATGGGCCCCCCCCCCTTAAAAATTTTTTGGCTACGCCCCTGAGTCAGAGAATAGTCTCTGGTAAGAATCGAACCCACGTCCTCACAAAAGAGGATTACAAATATTCGGTCTATTGCCTAACCACTCGTGCCTCAAAGGCTTAACGCTCGCACTGGCAGATTCGAATTTATATGGCCCCAGATTCCACTTTGCAGAAAACAAATTCCAACTCATTCTTAACTCCCCTTCCCACCTGATGGAAATGCGTCAGTTAAAAATAAAACATGCCTTAGCCTTGCCAGAAAAACTGCCAAAAAACTTCAAACATCTTTTTATATTCCAAAAGTTAAGTGATAATGAGCCAGCAAAGAAGGAGGCTTGCGAGTAAGCTAAACAAAAAAAAAAAGTCACGTTTAGTTGTTGTCATACAAACGTCACAAACTTATACGTCACTTGATAAAACCGTCCGATATTGATTTGCGATTCATTAAGGTTTGCAAAAATTTATGGCAAATCTATGTAATCAGTAATAAACGATATATGGTAGTAGAATGCAATCATCATTAAAACATAAATTGAGAGTATTGGAATGGAAATAGCACACAATGCAAATTAATTCAACTCAATTAAATTGAAAATGATCTAATCACAATCATCATGCTGATAATAGCTGAATATGGAAATCTAATATTTCAAATTACTAATTAAAGTCCATTGTGTCCAGATGTTACTAGCATATCCAATTTTAACACAATTTTCCATTCGAGAAATTTCACTATGACATTATTGGATTCCATCAGAAGTCATTTAGCATCAAAGAAGACAAACATTTATAGACTTAAGTCCCTCTGCTTGCATATTTTATTCGCTTTCACACCCTGGCGACATTAAATTTGAAAAGCGATCGCTTGTCAGCTTTATAACGATAATAATTGAGTTGTCAGTATAAAGGTATGCACGCAATTTTCTACGACGTAAAGAGCATGAAGAGAAAATGAAATTTAAAACATTTTAGTGACTTTTTTTTGGACTTAATGAAAAATTCAAGAGTTGTGTACATTCTTTTTAAAAAAAGGATCTCATGTACTGCCTTCGGACATAACATAGACCGAAAATCTTAATTTCATTATGTAAACTTGTGTTTTATTATATCTTAATTTTATAGCATGGCTACAGGCAATTTTAATTATTACTACGGATGTTTTATGTTCCAGTATCATGTTACATCCCAATTCTTATAATTTTTCAGAGAACAATTAGCCAGAAATGTATTGGATCAAACTTGTTGTATTTTCTTGGAAGACTAGCAGGGATCTCTGACTGACTTAATCTATCCTCAGTTAAAATATGAGGTTGGATTCCTATTAAATCTACAATATTGTAATGTCGTCAGCATTGTGCGAATCCCTGTCATATCTTTAACATACTCTATTTAATGATTGAGAGATGGGCTTCTGGTGGGAATTGAACTTACGTCCTTACAACAGAGGTTTTGCAGATATCCGATATATTGTTTAACCATTTGCGACACATAGTCCTTACTTTCGCACTGGCAGTTTTGCCTATATATGGCTCGATACCCCATTAAAACCCTTAACTTCCAAAAAATGTCTATATACACTGCTGCATCTTAGCTTTAATATCAATATGTCATGGTTGAACATTTAATTTACAAGAAAATTGCCCGAAAGCCAAAAAACCATAATAATTACAACTTCATCATGTTACAGCAAGCTGAAACTTGAGAGAGAGTCAATGACATGTCGAAAGTAATTTGTGATAGAGTTAATCAATAAAATTTATGAACGATCATTAGTTTCCTGTTTTATGCCTCACTGACGTCAGATATATTAAGGTCGTAAATAATGTAATATTGATGGTTTATCTACAAATTTACAGTTAACAAATTGTTCGATAGAGCCAATTTTCTCATGGCACTTAATACAAAGCACGCAATGATGAAAATCTTTTTTTTTTCCTTGTCTATCTTTATCGATTGCAGAGAAAGGAAAGAATGTGCGTAATGTCTGGGTTGACATTATACAAATGAGAGTCTTGAAAGAGTGAATTACAACCCTTTCGTACCTATGAATAATTAAATTCATTATTTATATTCTATGATGATGCAATTCATGGCTGATGTGAACTTGGCATGACTTTATGAGACCAGAGAGAGACAAAATTACGTGACATGCTGTTTGAAGCTTCTGTTCAGGAGATTATTTATTTTTAGACAAGAATTGTCCAATCCATTAACATTAGGGCACTTTGAGAGGTACCATTTAATGATATTGAAGACTATCAACCTTCAAAATAATTTGGGATATGACTTTGAACCAGATGCACGTGAAAATCATCTAATACCATCCATAACCAATTCAAGTACGACAACATTCAGAACCGAAAAGTTCAAGTTAAAAAGGTTGTGCCATCTTCAAAACTGTCAAGACTGTTTCTTTCTGTTCGACTATCCAAACACTTTTAAATAACTCACAAGCGTACTCTTGAGTGAAGAACAAAAGGTTTCAAAACAATTCTATTCGACCGTATTGCTTGTTATATTTGCAAACATTAATACAGAATAAACATAAGAATGTAGGAAGGATAAAAACACAAGTAAGCATGAATTGTATGATGCTTGATCCTTTTTCCATAGAAATATTCATAAATAAAGGAAAAGGAACACGCATGATGGCAATTACTAGATATATTTATGGAGCAATATCCGAAAAGGAAACATTCGTAATACTTACAATTGTCGGTTCGACTGGACAGTCCTCCTCAGGTGTTAAAGCAAGTGATGATTTCCGATGACCAAGACGGGAGTTTGATGGTGCACTTGCTAATAAAGAAAAATGAGATAGAAAAAATAAAGGAACGAATGAGTAAATTATTTCAAAAGTGATAGATTTATAGAAGCTAATTGAATAACAAGGATTAATTAGTAACAATTAAATGGTAATTTAATTTTTTTTGTAGCTATTTGGAACGCAATTCGTACTTAATTAATACAACAATTACTCTTTTATTTTGTTTGTTTTGTTTCTTTATAGCTGTTCATTGTGTTCGTAATTTATTGAATTTTCAGATTTATTTTTGTTTAATCTGTTTGAGTATTAAACTTTTTTTTTATTCAAGCTTCTTCTTCCTTTACGATGAAAATGAGTTGAGTTTATTGATCGAATAAGATAGGGATGAGAGGAGGAGAAGCACGATGGAATAAACTCTAATTTAGAGATTAAAAATGAATAAATATATATATTAAAGAGATTTATGGTAAGCTAGCGATTTCAGCGCATTTTCTTATTAATTTTATTAGTTTACATTGGAAGTTGGTGCTTGATTAGTTTATTGTTGAGATCACATTGGTCAGTTCTAATTTAAACAATATTTACTCAAACCAATGTTTGCTTAAGGGACCGTTCACTTATAACGTTCAGGGGGGGTCAGCAAGAAAAGAACAATAGAAATTCCTGGAAATTCATTGTTCTTTTTTGAAATATGAACGTTAATTTCGGACGTCATAAGTGAACGACCCCTAATTGTATTTGTAAATAAAGCGGATTGTAATGAAAATGATATTTACTGTTCGAAGTTCAAACGCTTAGTCTAAAATAATTGTATGAAAAGGGGTAAACAACTATGAAGCAATAAATTTTATTCAGAGATCGAAGCCGATTTTTTTAGCTTAACTCAATTTTTGATTTTTTTGATAGAAAAAAGCCATTTAACACCCATTTTAAGTATTTAAATTAAACTTTATATGCTTTACTATGATTCTGTGAAATATTTTTTCAGCATGTAGCTATAGTAAGCTCTGAATTTCAATTTAGCCGATTTTAAGCCGATCGGCTTAAATTTCGGCTTAACATTCTTTAACTTGAAATTCTGAGCTCACTATAGCTACATGCTGAAAAAATATTTCACAAAATCATAGTAAAGCATGTAAAGTTCAATTTAAATACTTAAAATGGGTGTTAAATAGCTTTTTTCTATCAAAAAAATCAAAAATTGAGTTAAGCCGAAAAAATCGGCTTCGATCTCTGATTTTATTTATCAACTGAAATTAGCCACAATACAAATCAAATTAATCACAAAATGGAGAAAATCATGTTCAAATTCTATTTAAAATTTGTCAACTAGATACAACACAACATCCCCAAACATTTCTAATGTATCCTCCTAATCCAGCCACTTAAAAAGGAAGATTTGCTAAAATTAGACTATAAACAATCAGAATATTTAGAAATCCCACACTTTAATCATTAAATTCAACCAACATCAGATGAATATCCTTCGTTGGATGTTTATCTTGAGCTTTATCATGTCTTAACTATGATTAACAGTAAATTGAATTGAATTAAGAGTATTAAATCTTCATATAAAAAGAGATGTGCCTAGATTTTACTGAAAATATTTCCATTCATTCTTGGCTTATGCTCTAAATACGATAATCTGATAAGAGATTTAATGCAAAGCTGTTGTGCTATTTTATATCGTACATAAACTAATTAAAACTATTTCTCTTCTATCAGGACTTTACATTTCACAGGCTCAACAAGTATATTAAGTAAATGAAAAACTTTTAATATTGTGCAAACTTTATGGAAGCAATTTTTCTCCACAAAATTGTTGTTTGGAAAAAGTTTTTGCATTCTATAAAGTAGTCGATGGATGCAGATTTCTCTTACTTAACGTGTTGAATGTAGCAGAAGGAACTTAGACAATTTAGTTTTAATACCTCACCGCTTGTCTATTAAACGCAGTGATGAAAGGCAAGCGAAAACTTTATTCATTAATATTTTAAGTGAAGATATATAAAAAAAATTGTCTCATACAATTATGCAGTCAGTTACAGCGACTACAACTTTGTATTATTTGTAATTATTTCTAAAGCACTCGTCGCTCATTATATTTTGCATTAAGGAAAGCATTTTGTACTTTTTTAAAAATATACAATATTGCCTCGATTTATATGAAAGGAACTTGATTAAATATTAAATTCTATTGTGCATTCGATCAATATCGCTTTGCTGAATGTTAAGTGTTTCATTTGCCTTTATGTCTGCTTCCATTTCTCTCGATTAAAATTTTAATATTTTACTTGATGTCAACCTTCGAGTTTTGTAAATGTTTTACGGATATGTGCGACCAATGAAATAAAGTTGGGAGTTCTGATTTGAATATTCAAATTTTTAACGGCTATTAATAATTTGAATATTCATTATTAGCTGTTTGAATTTTTATTCACCGTTAAATATTTGAAATTTTATTAATTATTGAAATATCTAAATTTTTATTAATCGATAAAGCTTTACAGCAATAAGTAATTGCATCCTGCCTATTAATTCACGGTTCCGATTCACAGAGAATATTTGCAATTAAAAGTTAATTAAAGCTTGCAATCCTATTAAGATAAAGGCAATTTCTCTTCATTAATTGCAATCGGGGATTTCAATTCAATAGCAGGCAATTGTTGATGAGGAAATTGCGCATCGGTAAAACGATATGGTGCAAGGTAGATGGCTTCATGGCAGTTTAACAAAAGACATCAACTTGTTGCATATTGAAGACTTTCTTTATTAGCGAATTTTCCTTTCCTTTTTTTTACATAAAAGCTTATCTAGAATACTTATTCGTAATGAAGGATGACAGGCATATTCAGGTTTCAATTTCACTTCTTCTCATGCTTCAGTTAACTTTAAACAGACGCAAGTGCTTGTTTGTTGGAAACGAGAAAGAGATAAAAAATTTATCAGAGGCAGGCAAGTGAAGGATCTAAAAAGTCGTAAGTTCTTTCTACCGTAAATAATTTAAATTTTTTTCATTTCATTCCTTTCGTGTCTCTTCATCTCATTTTTTCCCCGTTTCCTTATTTACTGGCTGATTCTATACATCCGTCAAGATGCTCAAGGCACAACTTTCTTACTGAATTTACCAATTCCTTGCATTAGTGATTATGTACATACAATTTATATATTTATATAAAGTCTCCCCTTTGTGTATGTTTATTGCGTATATACTTATGCTTATTTGCGGTATAAAAATAATATTATGGTTTCCGCAAATATTAGCATGAATGGATGAGGTGAAAATTGTAATTCGTGCATTTCTGTGGTGAATGAAAAAAAAAATCACTATGAGCTGTAATGCCTGATGTAAATAGATTTATAGCTATTTATACAGAAATGAATGTGCAAATTTATTTGTTTAAGGAATTTTGATTTATAGATTTTATGCTATAATTTATTTTATGTATGATGTTTTTTATTTGATTTTTAATGGGACGTAAGAATATCGTTAAGGAGATGATTTATAGAGCAGAAATAAAAGTTACAAACGAACTTTTGTAATTCAAAAGTTCAAAATTTGAACTGTTTTACTTGTTCTGTTTCTTGTTTAAGAAGGTAAGGGGCCGTTCACTTATTACGTTACGCAAAAAAAAAACGACTTTTTTCACCCCCCCCCCCCCTCCCCCCCTTGTTACAATATGTTACAACTCACAACCCCCCCTTGAACGTTCATAATTTATTTTATTTTGATAATTTTTTTTAAAAGACAGACGACAGTTAGAACGTTACATACTTCTTGACATACCCCCCTTCCCCCCCCCCCCCACTATGTTACATTTTGTTACAATTTTTAAACCCCCCTCCCCCCTAAAATGCGAACGGCCCCTAAGGAGATCTGCGGTTTTGTAGTAGCCCAAACAAACAGTAACGAGGGACGAGGGGAGTAAAAAGTGTAATAAGTGAACTGGTCCTCTTTTATTTAAATGTTTAAAATTTTTTTCATTTGAATTTTAAAACTTTGAATCCGATAAGATTTGAAATTTCAATCTAAAAAGTTTTGAACTTGAAATTAAATTGAATCAGAAATCAAATGTTGTCATATTTAGATGTGTTCAGCTTATGATGTGCTTTATTGAGGTATTCAATAAAAAAAGTGTTTGCTGAAGTAAAACTCTACGTCTGCTAATCAAATCTCAAAATAAAGATCCAGAAACGTAAGAAAACATAAATTATAAATTGATTTAAGCTAAAAGTTCAACATGAAAATGAAGAAATGTCTTAAAATTATCATGATATATCGGTAAGCCAGGTAAACATATCAATTATTTATACTGAAAGTTTCCAAGAATTTCCATATTTTCTTCAAAAATCCTTGAAGGCATAATAAGTTCCCATGAATCCAATCTCAGTTAATATCAAGACTTATAATTTTTTCCTACGAATGCATTTTGCTGACAATTTTCGAAATGAAAATAATTGAATCCCTTAAGGATAAATGGAACACAGCTAAAAGCTAAATAAAATCAGAGAAAAAGTTCCCAAAAAACTGTCAAGCGACAATAAAACATCGCCTTACTTTCACGAAAATTAATGATTGATGCTGTAAGAAAGAGAAGCGCCACAAACATAATCTTATGATGACATTTTTATTTGTCCCTATTTAATAATAAATTGCTTATCGTGCTGAGTTTTGTAAATATTATTTAATTCTTGTGTAACGTGTGAGGAATTCATAAGTACAGTCAATCAACAGGAAATGAAATAAAAAGAAAGGAACTAAGAAGAAAAGGTGTAATAATAAATTCTCTTCGTCTTTCTACGATTTATTATTATTTTTATCAATAATAACTTCTCCAATGGATGACTATACTCTATCTGAATGAATGAAAGTGCCATAGGAAGAGTACGAAGTCATTGCCATAGCTTTTGAAAACTTTGACAATATTATTAATATCAGAACATTAATATCCCATATGCATGATTCATTCAAACAACATTTATCATTTCTCTGTAAGCACTGAAATGAAAATAGATTTTTTATTTAAAATGA